AGGTAATAAAGGAAAAAAAAAGAACACCTCAGTAGACTTAACAAGGATATCACAAGTAATGACTAGCAAGCAACATTTTTTGAAAAATAAAATGTAGGCACAAGAAATGCTAAACGAAATAGCTTACTTTTACCTTAGACTTTCCCTAAATTATGTGATTTCATTCCTACAAGGACAAGAATCACAGCTTACTACCAGCCATGCAAATGTCATTTTAGGAGTACACACAAGTTTTACCCAGTATCTTAGTTCACATTTGTCCCAGTTAATTAAGTTTATGTATAATTTAAAAGCCAAAACTAGATATGCCAATTTTAAGTTTTCCTTCTAACTAATCCAAAGTCAAAACTATTCACTTTATCAAATGAATTAACTGAATACAGTTATTTATTTATACTTATAAATTGGACCACACACTTTCTCACTTAATACCTATTATGTCCTGTTTCCCATATCTCTCTACAAAGTAGAAGTATTTGCTGGAAGACAATAATCTGCTCATTAAGTAGACACTTAGAAAAAGCACTGATCTGCAACTACTGAAATTCGTATCTGTATATTTCTCTTTTGGGTTAAGGACAACACTTCTCTGGCTATTTTTCCAAATAAACTGGGTAAGCCTTGGGAAAGTCACTGCTTAAATCCCACTTTCCGACAGCTTCTCTTCCTCCATTAATGAATTATTGAGAGCCATGTCTACTTCCATCCATTACATAATACATGTCTATCATGGGACCTGTTTTCTGAACAAGAAATAGCTTAAATGACACTAACTGATAAGTAGAGCCAGTGAATATTGTAATCTAACAGGGGGCAGGAATCCAGAAAACAAGATTCTGATTTACAGTGCTAAGTTGTGAAAGAGTGATGTGAAGAACATGGAACACTGCTTATTCTTAGTAATATTTCCATACAAAGTGAGACACATGCCCCCAAAATGTTTTTAAAGCACTTGACTCCAAGAGCATTTCTCTGAAATTCTGGGGCCTACCAAAAAAAAAGTTCCATTTCATTTTAAAGTGTTTTAATAAAGACCGCAAGAAGTATAACTGCAAATGAGAAATAAAATTTCAACAATTTAGCACTGAACACAAAATGTCTAAAAGTCAAGGTGTACTGAGCAACACGCTGTAAAAGACGGTTGTACTTTAAAACATTTCAGCATTTTCATATAATTAGCTCCAACAGAACTGTTTAAATTGTTCACTTTATCCACCCAAAGTAGTCAACCACAACCACCTGCAACTATTATTCAGAAACGTGCCTTCCAAAGCAACCACCTGATCTGGGGCCTTCTCTCAAGGGGCCAGGATAAAGCCTGTAAAAGGGTGGTATAAAGAGATCTTTTAGGCATAGGGGGATAAAAAACCTGGAAGACACCACCTTGAAGGAGCTAAGAGTAATGCGACCCAAATGGTGGCTGCCAGAACGAAGTTGTCTAAACCGAAGATCTCCCACTTCTTGGGTGTAAAACTTTCAGATCCATCCACACTCGGTTTACCTGAGCCAAAGCACCTTCCCTCTCCGAGCCCCCATCCACCTCGCCAGAAGGAAAAGAATCGAACTCTTAAGTAGAAACGTGACAGATCCAGTGCAATAAAATAGGTTCTCCGACTGCCTCAAAGGTAACATGCACGGCCCAACGTCCTTTTGAAATACAACACTTCATCTTTTATCTCACCATTTCATCAAAAAGAAAAGAATCATCTCCAGCATTTTACATCACTCACCTAACCCACAGATCCACCCTGACCGCACCCCAACCTCATGGCTCCCCAATTTCTCCGTCTGCCCACTACCTGGTCCGCAGCTTCACTAGTCCTAAGCCTCCCCGCCTCCGCTCCCCAAGTGCCCAGAGCCCCAGACCCCAGTCCCCGACCTCCCGCCCCAGGATCCCCACATCCACCGCCTCGGCTCCCGCCCAATCC